TTTTATTTTATTTTATTTTATTTATTTTTCAGATTTCTATACCGCCCTTCTCCTTTCAGACTCAGGGTGGTGAACAGCCAAGATAAAACATTTGTACCCAAAAGTTAAAATAGGTTTAAAATAATTAAATAAATTTGGCCCGTAATTTAAAACCTTTCAATTAAAATCCATATCAAATTTTAAAACCAACCATAAAATCAGGACAGCCCGGCTAACTGAAAAAAAAAAAAAGGTTTTTAGGGCCCGACGAAAAGTCCGGAGGTCTGGGATTATGACCGGTCCTCGCATTTACGGCCGTCGCGCAGCATCCCTCCCCCCCGGTCACGTGATCAAGACGGGGGAAACTCGTATGTAGGGTTGCACCAGTCACATGATCGCCTTTGGTGACTTCCCGCCTGCGGACGTCCGAGGAGCAAAACCGACGGGGGGGAGCCGGATTCGAATCACGACAAAGTGGGTCATTTAATGGCAGTGGTGCAGTTTAAGAACCGTGGTGGAAAGAGGTTGTAAAAATTGGGTGCGATTCAGCCAATAATCGCTTTGCTTAGCAACCAAAAGCAGTGGTTTTTAAACCTTGGCCCCTTTAAGACCGGTGGACTTCAACTCCCAGAATTCCCCAGCCAGCGTTGCTGGCTGGGGAATTCTGGGAATTGAAGTCCACCGGTCTTAAAGGGGCCAAGGCTGGATTTTCCTGCCTTGCAGAGGGAGGGTGTCCACCAGAATCCTTTAAGAGCATCACAACTCACCTGTCATTAGACGAGAAGTCCACCCCCAGGACGATGCTCTCCTCCGTGTCCTGCCGGCCATTCGTCGAGACCACCACCATGTAACGGGTGCGGTTTTGATAGCTGCTTTCCAGTCTCACCGCCTGGGAAGAGAACCCAACAGAGACCCGGCTTAGAATAACAGAATCGCAGAGCGGGAAAGGGACCTTGGAGGTCTTCTAGTCCAACCCCCACACTCCTCTCTGCTCAAGCAGGAGACACAAGGCCCGTTCCAGACAAATGTTTGTCGAATCTCTTCTTAGAAACCTCCAGAGATGGAGAAGGAAGGAAGGAAGGAAGGAAGGAAGGAAGGAAGGAAGGAAGGAAGGAAGGAAGAAAAAAGAAAGGAAAGAAGAAGGGGAACAAAAGAAAAAGAAGGAAGGGAGGGAGGGAGGAAGGAAGGAGGAAGGAAGGAAAAGGAAAAAAGAAGGAAGGAAGGAAGGAAGAAGGAAGGGGAATAAAAGAAAAAGAAGGAAGGGAGGAAGGATGGAAGAAGGAAGAAAAAAAAGGAAGGAAGAAGGAAGGGTTAACAAAAGAAAAAGGAGGGAGGGAGGAAGGAAGGAAGGAGGAAGGAAGGAAAAGGAAAAAAGGAAGGAAGGAAGGAAGGAAGAAGGAAGGGAAACAAAAGAAAAAGAAGGAAGGGAGGAAGGAAGGAAGGAAGGAAGGAAGGAAGGAAGAAAAAAGAAAGGAAGAAAGGAAGGAAGAAGGAAGGGAACAAATGAAAAAGAAGGAAGGGAGGAAGGAAGGAAGGAAGAAAAAAGAAAGGAAGAAAGGAAGGAAGGAAGAAGGAAGGGGAACAAATGAAAAAGAAGGAAGGGAGGAAGGAAGGAAGGAAGGAAGGAAGGAAGGAGGAAGGAAGGAAGGAAGAAAAAAGAAGGAAGGAGGGAAGGAAGAAGGAAGGGGAACAAAAGAAAAAGAAGGAAGGGAGGGAGGAAGGAAGAAGGAAGAAAAAAGAAAGGAAGGAAGAAGGAAGGGTTAACAAAAGAAAAAGAAGGGAGGGAGAGAGGGAGGAAGGAAGGAGGAAGGAAGGAAGGTAGGGGAACAAAAGAAAAAGAAGGAAGGAAGGAAGGAGGAAGGAAGGAAGGAAGAAAAAAGAAAGGAAGGAAGGAAGGAAGAAGGAAGGGGAACAAATGAAAAAGAAGGAAGGGAGGAAGGACGGAAGGAAGGAGGAAGGAAGGAAGGAAGAAAAAAGAAAGGAAGGAAGGAAGGAAGAAGGAAGGGGAACAAATGAAAAAGAAGGAAGGGAGGAAGGACGGAAGGAAGGAGGAAGGAAGGAAGGAAGAAAAAAGAAAGGAAGGAAGGAAGAAGGAAGGGGAACAAATGAAAAAAAAGGAAGGGAGGAAGGAAGGAAGGAAGAAAAAAGAAAGGAAGGAAGGAAGGAAGGAAGAAGGAAGGGGAACAAAAGAAAAAGAAGGAAGGAAGGAAGGAAGGAAGGAAGGAGGAAGGAAGGAAGGAAGAAAAAAGAAAGGAAGGAAGGAAGGAAGAAGGAAGGGGAACAAATGAAAAAAAAGGAAGGGAGGAAGGAAGGAAGGAAGAAAAAAGAAAGGAAGGAAGGAAGGAAGGAAGAAGGAAGGGGAACAAAAGAAAAAGAAGGAAGGAAGGAAGGAAGGAAGGAAGGAAGGAAGGAAGGAAGGAAGGAAGGAAAGAAGGAAGGAAAGTAAGTAATTTATTGATGATGTTATTTACTGATGATGTTCCCTAATTGAATCATGAAACATCTGCAAGAAAACAACCAAGCTCAGAGAGCACTAAGCACCCCACAACCTTCCTCCTCCTCGCTCCCTCCCTCCCACTCCTCTTCCTCCCTTCTAGCACTGATGATGTTACCTAGCTGGGTCATGAAACGTCTGCAAGAAAACCACCAAGCTCAGCAGTAGTGTAGTTTCAAATCCCGGGGCTACCGGTTTGCTATTGGGCGCGCACAGCGCTTCTGCGCGTATGCAGAAGTTTCTGCCCATGCGCAGAGCGTTTTTGACGACGTCTGGGAGGAGCCTCCCCGCCGCTGCCGCTACCAGTTCGCTCTGAAGCTCAGAGAGCACCAAGGACCACACGATCTTCCTCCTCCATCACCACCTCTTCCTCCTCCCTCCCTCCCACTTCTCCTCCTCTCTTCTAGCACTGATGATGTTCTCTAGTCAGGTAATAAAACGTCCACAAGAAAACCAAGCTCAGACAGCACCAAGGACGCCTCCTTTCAACCCTGAGCTCCAAATATTCTCCTTTTTTACTCCAACCCAGAATAGCTCGACAGACTCACCCTGTGGTGGGTGCCCAGCTTCAAACGGGGAAGAGTCTCACCACACGGAGGGCTAAATATATATATGGTACCTATTGAGGTTTCCTCCACCCCGGATGCAACCGCCACGGCAGCACTGACGCAGCGGGCACGGAAAGGGGCAGCACAAGAAGCGCCAGTCACTTCCCAGAAGCCGAGAGGAAGTTCACCCACGGGGTGCCCGCGGGGCAGAAGATGCCAAGGAAGGAAGTCGAAGCAGATGCTGGCTCCGCCCGGCTTTTTCGCAGGAATTAAGGGTGAATCTGCACCCCCCTCCCTCCTGAGCCAATGGGGCGTCTCTCTGGTGGGTGGCAACTGGCAAAGCTTGGTTTCACAACCCCAATCAAGCTGAACCCCAAAATTAGGGCCATCCCCCCACTTATTCGCAGCCGAGAAGCCACAGACAGACGCCAAAGTGATGCCAGTTGTCAAGGCTGGCAGGCAGCTAGTTTTCATCCACAGGTAGTCCTTGACCGAGGACTGCAATCGAGCCCAAAATTGCCATTCCTGAGCAAGACAGTTGTTAAGTGAATCTTGCCCATTTTATGACGTTTCTACCCACAGTTACAGTAGAGTAGAAAATAGAATAGAATAATAGAATAGAATAGAATAATAGAATAATAGAATAGAATAATAGAATAATAGAATAATAGAATAGAATAATAGAATAATAGAATAGAATAGAATAATAGAATAATAGAATAGAATAATAGAATAATAGAATAGAATAATAGAATGATAGAATAGAATAATAGAATAGAATAGAATAATAGAATAATAGAATAGAATAATAGAATAATAGAATAGAATAATAGAATAGAATAATAGAATAATAGAATAATAGAATAATAGAATAATAGAATAGAATAGAATAATAGAATAATAGAATAATAGAATAATAGAATAGAATAATAGAATAATAGAATAGAATAATAGAATAATAGAATAGAATAATAGAATAGAATAGAATAATAGAATAATAGAATAGAATAATAGAATAATAGAATAGAATAATAGAATAATAGAATACCGTATTTTCCGGCGTATAAGACGACTTTTTAACACATGAAAATCTTCTCAAAAGTCGGGGGTCGTCTTACACGCCGGGGGTCGTTCTCCTGTAACCAGGCAGACCAGCCCGAAAGGCTCTGGCGATCTGCTAATCAGGCAACTCAGCTGGGATCGCCGGAGCCATGGAGAAGGGAAAAAGTTTTCCCCCTCCAGCTTGCTTACCTTAGCTGCTAGTTGCAACGCTTGCCTTGCTTCCCTTGCCTGCAATCCATTGATTCAGGCAAGCAAAGAGATCATCCGTGGTTTTGGGGTGAAGTGCCATCTGTACGCTGACGATACGCAGCTGTACATCTCCACTCCAGACCACCCCAACGATGCCCTGGATGTGATGTCCCGCTGCCTGGAGGCCGTGCGGGCCTGGATGGGGAGGAACAGGCTCAGACTCAACCCCTCCAAGACCGAGTGGCTGTGGCTACCGGCGCCCCGATATAGTCAGCAGGTGCCATCGCTGACTATTGGGGGTGAATCTTTGCCCCCCACAGAGAGGGCTCGCAATCTGGGTGTCCTGGCTGCACGGCTGTCTTTAGAAGAGCACATGACGGCCGTGGCCAGGGGGGCCTTTTATCAGGTTCGCCTGATCCGCCAGTTGCAGCCCTTTCTGGATCGGGACGCCTTGCGCACGGTCACTCATGCCCTTGTCACCTCCCGGCTGGACTATTGTAATGCTCTCTACATGGGGCTCCCCTTGAAGAGCATTCGGAGGCTCCAACTGGTCCAGAATGCGGCCGCGTGGGTGGTTATGGGCGCAACTCGTTGTGCCCACGTGACACCCCTCCTGCGCGAGCTGCACTGGCTTCCAGTGGTCTTCCGGGTGCGATTCAAGGTGTTGGTCATTCCCTCCCCACTCCAGGGGAAGGATACTGCAAAATCCCCATTCCCTCCCCACTCCAGGGGAAGGATACTATAAAATCCCCATTCCCTTCCCACTCCAGGCGAAGGATACTATAAAATCCCCATTCCCTTTCCCTGGGGGAAAGATACTGCAGAATTCCCATTCCCTCCCCACTCCTGGGGGAAGGATATTGCAAAAGCTCCATTCCCACCCCACTCCAGGGGAAGGATACTGTAAAAGCTCCATTCCCACCCCACTCCTGGGGAAAGGATATTACAAAATCCCCATTCCCTCCCCACTCCTGGGGGAAGGATACTGCAAAATCCCCGTTCCCTCCCCTCTCCTGGGGGAAGGATATTACAAAATCCCCATTCCCTCCCCACTCCAGGCGAAGGATACTATAAAATCCCCATTCCCTCCCCACTCCAGGGGAAGGTTACTATAAAATCTCCATTCCGTCCCCACTTCAGGGGAAGGTTACTGCAAAATCCCCATTCCCTCCCCACTCCAGGCGAAGGTTACTGCAAAATCTCCATTCCCTCCCCACTGCAGGGAAGGTTACTGCAAAATCCCCATTCCCTCCCCACTCCAGGGGAAGGATACTATAAAATCTCCATTTCCTCCCGATCAGCTGGGACTCGGGAGGCAGAGAATCGATGGTCAGAATTTTTACTACCGGTTCTCCGAACTACTCAAAATTTCCGCTACGGGTTCACCAGAACTGGTCAGAACCTGCTGAAACCCACCTCTGCCACTGACTACACATATAAGTGCTCTCTCTCTCTCTCTCACACACACACACACACACACACACACAGAAATGCAATTGCCTGCCAGCTCCCCAGAGGCCTCTCTGGCAACAAGCAGATCAGCGTAATCTAATTGGCTTTGCTAAATCAATTTGGCCAGGAATAATGAGCCGTCCGATCACGGCCGAGGAAGATGCCTGCAGCCGGAGACGGCGCCTGGCGTCCAGTTGCTCAACGGGCGTTCTGGCCGCCAGAGAGCAAGACGGACACAGAGCGGATTTCTAGGATCGGCCGGCCGGAGGAAGCTTTCTAAGGATGTAGCTTCTTGCTACAGGATTCCCAGGAAAAGCAGGGAAGGAAGCTGGGGAGGCTTGAAATCAAGGGCTTCTCTTGTTGGCTGGGGGATTCTGGGAGTGGAAGCCCACCCCTCTTAAAGCATGGCTGGCTTGGGAATTATGAAAGTCGAAGTCCAGCTAGGTAGAGAAGCGCTTTTTCTAAAGCGATCCTAAGCTAGGCATTAAGGCTCCTGGAATCAAGGAGAAACTTCCTAGCAGTGAGGACAATTCACCAGTGGAACAGCTTGACACCAGAAGTTGTAAATTTATTTATTTATTTATTTTATTTTATTTATTTTATTAAATTTCTATACCGCCCTACTCCCGAAGGACTCAGGGCGGTGAACAGCCACAGGATAAAAGACATAAATACAAAAATTTAAAATAGAATAAAAACGAATTAAATAATTTGGCTGAACAAATTTAAAATACCCCATAATTTAAAAACAAATTAAAATTTACATGTAAAAAGGGGGAGAAATGCTCCGTCACTGGTGGTTTTTAAGAAGAGAGTGGGCAGTCACTTGTCTGAAATGGTATAGGACAGGTTCTCCTGCTTGAGCAGGGGGTTGGGCTAGATGACCTCCAAGGTCCCTTCCAGCTCTGTTCTATTCTAAACGCTGTTCCTATTGCAAGGCTCTGTTCAAATCTGATTTTCTGGGTCCTTCTCCCACCTTCTTGGCTCCTAATCACACTTCGCCCTTCCTCGGCTCCTGGACCCGGACGGAATCCCTGCAGACAATATAGATTTACCTCTTCAGCAAACCACGTGACACCTGTTCAAAGTCTACCAGCTATCAGCCTGCCCATCTTCCTGAGCCAAGGAAAAATGTAAACAGAGGCACCTGACCCTTAGTTGCAACCTGCAAAGGGCTGTTTTTTTTAAAAAAAAAAACCCGTTCCTTTGATGTGGCCAATTTTTATTTTTTTTTTAATTTGATTTATATGCCGCCCTTCTCTGGAGACTCAGGGCGGCTTACAATGCATTAAGCAATAGCCTCCATACTTTTGTATATTTATACAAAGTCAGCTTATTGCCCCCACAAACTGGGTCCTCAATTCACCTACCTTAGAAAGGATGGAAGGCTGAGTCAACCTTGAGCCTGGTGAGATTCGAACTTACTTTAATTGCAGACAGCTGGAGTTAAATTACAATGCATTAGTCTGCTGAGCTATCCAGGCTCCTTTTCAGATTCCAGGACAAGGAATCTTAGAATCTCGGAACCAAATCCTGAATCTCGCTGCAAGGAATGGAGACTATCCAAATCTATGTAATTTTTTTTTTCTCTCTCTCTCTCTCTGCTAGAAAGATGGAGGAGCAAAACACCTCCTCGGACAATGCAAAAGTGCCAAATGTTTCGGGAAACGTCCCAGGTTTGCAGGGATTCTCACATTTAAGTCACTTTGGCCACCATAAGAGCTAGAAACTTGGGAGGCATTGGATTTTGGGATTTTTAATATTTTTTTTCGGAATGAAATTAGCAGCAAGCACCAAATGTCTTGCTTCGAATAGCTCCTCAGATATTGAAATATTGAATGTTGTTAATATAAATATTGAAATATTGGAAGATGCTGTCCTGTCTCCCCTGGTCCTTCTCTTCACTAGACCAGCCATGCCCAGTTTCTGCAAGCATTCATCGTATATTTTAGAGCCTCCAGTCCCCTCATTATCCTGGTTGCTCTTCTCTGCACTCTTTCCGGAGTCTCAACCACTTTTTTATAGTGTGGGGACCAAAACGGGATGCTATATTCCAAGTGTGGCCTCACTAATGCAGTATAAAGCACTATTATTACTACCACTCAGAGTATGTCTGAAGAGTGCCAAGCTAGGGACAAGGCTGGGTTGTGGGTCTCATTCCTTTAGATTGTGTGAACTTAGTCCGCTGGGAGTAAAGTACTCTTTTAACAGAATCACAGAGTTGGAAGGGACCTTGGAGGTCTTCTAGTCCAACCCCCTGCTGAAGCAGGAGACCCAAATATCATTTCAGACAAATGGTGGTCCAATCTCTTCTTGAAAACCTCCAGTGATGAAGCACCCATAACTTCTGGTGGCAAGCTGTTCCACTGGTTAATTGTCCTCACTATCAGGAAATTCCTCCTTAATTCCAGGTTGCTTCTCTCCTTTATTAGTTTTCCTTCCTTCCTTCCTCTCTGCTTCCCTATCATTTCCCCTTTTTCTCTTTCCTTCCTTTTCTCTCCTCCTTCCCTCCTTTGTCTCCTTCCCTCCTTCCTTCCCATCATTTTCCCTTTCTCTGTTTTCTCCTTCCTTTTCTCTCCTTTCCTATCATTTCCTTTCTTTCCTTCCTTCCTTTTCTCTCCTTCTTTCCTTTGTTTGTCTCCTGCCCCCCTTCCTTCTCATCATTTTCCCCTTCCTTCCTTCCTTCCTTCCTTCCTTCCTTCCTTCCTTCCTTCCTTCCTTCCTTCCTTCCTTCCTTCATCACAGAATCCTAGGGCCGGAAGGGACCTTGAAGGCCTTCTAGTCCAACCCCCTGCTCAAGCTAGAGACCCCAGACCATTTCAGACAAATAGTTCTGCAATCTTTTCTTAAAAACCTCCTGTTTAAAAAAACCTGTCTAGGAGAAGGGAGTCCGATCGTGTCCCTGAGCTGCCCATCCACTCCGTGTCCCGGCCACCACCCAAGCGAGCAATCCCAAGTGGCCGCCGCCTGACCTCCTCGGCAGGCTAAATTTAGTGCTGGACAAAGGGGAGGCATTGTCTTGTGGCCTGGCACCCCTCGCCCTGCTCAGGGAAGGCGTGGTTCCCCCAAATCACACCCCCAAGTACAAGGCACAAAGGAACCACTGTTGTAGCTGAAGAATGACTGGTCAGCCGCCTGGGAGCTGACCGCCGGGCGCCGGCTGGAGACATCAGCCAGTCTAGGAGGACCGAGCATGTCCTCCTTGCTCAGTGTTGGGGTCCCAAAGGGGATCCGGACCCCCTTTTCTGGGGGATTATGGGAGCTGGAGTCCACAACCACATCTTAAAAGTTGCCAGCATTTGGAAATGATGATGCATTGCAGACATGTCTGGAACAGGAAAAAGGGGGCTGAGGTTTTGGGGAACAGGGGTGGGGGTAAGGGGTCAGAATGGTTGTTGGAGGGAGACCTACCAGTCGGATGTAGTCCTCAGGTCGAAGGAGCATGAACATGGCTTGGAGGTGTTGTTGAAGGTCTCCTGAAGCAGAGAGAAAAAGAATCAGACATTTTCCTCCTCCGGCCACTCAGTTCCTCCTCTAAACCTCCTCCTCTTATTCTGGGGACTCGCAGGCCAAGGACCCTAAATCTGGGGTATCCCCCCCCCCCCTACCCTAAGCAGGCTAACGAGGCAAGAATGCAGGAATCCAACAGGCTTCCGAGCGTTCTTAGCCAAACCCCTTCAATGAGCATTCTCACAACCCAAGATGCTCGGTTGGTTCCAGGGTTTATCGTGCTGTTGATCGCGCTCAGGAAGCTCAAACTGCCCAAGGAGCTGCTGATCCAGTTCTACAGAGGAATGATGGAGTCTGTCATCTGCACCTCTATAACTGTCTGGTTTGGCTCTGCAACCCAACAAGACAGACACCGACTTCAGAGGATCGTTAGAACTGCAGAAAAAACCATGGCTGCCAACCTGCCTTCCATTGAGGACCTCTATACTGCACGAGTCAAAAAGAGGGCTGGGAAAATATCTACAGACCCCTCGCATCCTGGACATAAACTGTTTCAACTCCTACCCTCAAAATGACGCTATGGAGCACTGCACCCCAGAACAACTAGACACAAGGACAATTTTTCCCCGAACGCCATCACTCTGCTAAACAAATAATTCCCTCAACACTGTCAAAGTATTTACTAAGTCTGCACTACTATTAATCTTCTCATCGTTCCCACCACCCATCTCCTCCACTTACGACTGTATGACTGTAACTTCGTTGCTTGGATCCTTAAGATTTATATTGACTGTTTCCCTATGACTATCATTAAGTGTTGTACCTTATGATTCTTGATGAACTTATCTTTTATCTTATGTACACTGAGAGCGTAGGCACCAAAGACAAATTCCTTGTGTCCAATCACACTTGGCCAATAAAGAATTCTATTCTATTCTATTCTATTCTATTCTATTCTATTCTATTCTATTCTATTCTATTCTATTCTATTCTATTCTATTCTATTCCATTCCATATTTTCTATTCTATTCTATTCTATTCTATTCTATTCTATTCTATTCCATTCTTCATACCTCTATTCTATTCTATTCTATTCTATTCTATTCTATTCTATTCTATTCTATTCTATTCTATTCTATTCTATTCTATTCTATTCCATTCCATTCCATTCCATTCCATTCCATTCCAATTTCTCTATTCTATTCTATTCTATTCTATTCTATTCTATTCTATTCTATTCTATTCTATTCTATTCTATTCTATTCTATTCTATTCTATTTCTATTCTATTCTATTCCATTCCAATTTCTCTATTCTATTCCATTCCATTCCATTCCATTCCATTCCATTCCATTCTATTCTATTCTATTCTATTCTCCCCACCTGCCCAGTCCATAATAAAACGGTTTTCCTGGAAACTGGTCCACGATGAGAAAAAGGATGCACGGACAAAGCTGCCTTTTCTTTTATACTTTGTTTAGGGGAAATCCTAACTTCTAGTGGATCGCGGCTGGCTGAAAGATGGGCAGCTAGTCATAATAATATCGTAATAAGATAAAAGTAAAAAAAAAAAATAGGAGGGAGGGAGGAAGAGGAAGGAAGGAGGGAGGGAAGGAGGACGGAGGGAGGGAGGGAAAGGAACATGGGAATGGTGGGAGGGAGGGAGAGAGGGAGGAAGGAAGGAAGGAAAAGGAAAGGAAAATAGGAATGGTGGGAGGAAGGAAGGGAGAGAGGAAGGAAAAAATGGGAAAGAGAAAGGAGGGAAGAGGAGGACAGTAGGATCAAAAAGTATGGAAAGAAACAAAAGAAAGAAAAAGGGGAAAGAGATAGAAGAACAAATAATACAAGATGGAAAGAAAAGGAAGGAAAGAAGGAATTAATTAATTAATTAATTAATTAATTAATTAATTAATTAATTAATTAATTAATGGTATTCAGCCCGTGTGCTGCATTCTTTTCCTTGCTTTATTTACTCATTTATTAGATTTATATGCCACCCATCTGACTGTCAATCCACTCTTGACGTGGCTCAGAGGTTGCCGGAGCTTCTGGGAAAAGGGCACCTCCCGCTCGCCCCTTTTCCCTCCTCAACCCCATCCCGTCTCCACTCACGGTGAGAACCGGCTGGCGCATCCTGCTCGTAAGGAATCCACCCCAGAGGAAAAGTCCTGTATCTGTACACCAAGGCTACTTTCTCCAGGCTGGGCCCAACAGTCCAGTGTATGCAGAGTCTGTGGGGAAGGGAGGGGAGGGGGGACCCCCTTACCTGCGTGCTTGTTCCGCCGGTGGTTGACCCTGGGGGTGGAGGACCCATTTCCGCGGGGCAGGAAGAGGGCAGCGCCTTTGACCGTGAGAAAGCTTTCGCTGATGCTGCAAGAGAAAGAGAGCAGAAGGAAGTGAGAAGGGCAGAAGTGGGGGGGGGCAACAGGAATGCAGGGTGGGGACGGGGGAAGCCATCCTCTTCTTGAGGACAAGACGGGGGGGGGGGAGCACGCAAGGACCCCTCCGTCCCTCCCTTCTGCCCTCCCCCCCTCAAGGGGCAGGACACAGCCAAACGGCCCCTTTGGGCGAAAGGGAAGGAAAACGGTGCAAAATCAGCAGGGCCTCGGCTTGCAAATGTAACAGAGTTGGAAGGGACCCTGGAGGTCATCAAGTCTAACCCCCTGCTCTCGCAGGATACCTATACTATTTCTGTATGCGGGGGTGGGGTGGTGGGGAGAAGGGAGGAAGGAAGAATGGGGGAGGAGATGGGAATGAGAGGAAAGAAGGGAGGGAAGGAAGGACAGAGGGAGATGGGAAGGGGGAATGGGAAAGGAGATGGGAAAGAGAGGAATAGAGAAGGAGAGAAGGAAGGAAGGAAGGAAGGAAGGAAGGAAGGAAGGAAGGAAGGAAGGAAGGAAGGAAGGAAGGAAGGAAGGAGAAATAGAGAGAGAGATGAGAATAGGACTGGGAATGAGAGGGAGGGAGTAAGGGAGGGAGTAAGGAAGGAAGATCAGGGAAGAAGTTGGGAATGAGAGGAAGGAAGCGAGGGAAGGACGGAGGGAGGGAGATGGGAAGGGGGAATGGGAAAGAGATGAAAAGAGGATGAAGGGAGGGAGAGAGGGAGAGAGGGAGGAAGAATGTGGGAGGAGATGGGAATGAGAGGGAGGGAGGAAGGGTGGAAGGGAGGAAGGAAGAAGGAATAGAGAAAGAGATGGGAATGGGAATGAGAGGGAGGGAGGAAGGAAGGAAGGATGGATGGATGGGGAGGAGATGGGAATGAGAGGAAAGAAGGGAGGGAAGGAAGGACAGAGGGAGATGGGAAGGGGAAACGGGAAAGGAGCGGGGAAAGAGAGGAACAGAGGAGGAGGGAGGGAGGGAAGGAAGGAAGGAAGGAAGGAAGATAGCAGCAGGGATCACTCTTGCCTTGAATGACAACCTGCTGGGTGCACCTCCCTTCAAGAGGTCTATGTATCAATCTCAGAATCCCAGGGCTGGAAGGGACCTCAGAGGTCTTCTAGTCCAACCCCCTGTCCAAGCAAAGGCAATGCTTCTCTAGCATCTAAGTGGCAGCCGGCTGCCCGGTTTACCCAAGGATATTTCTGCTCCATCACCCATCATCCCCAGCTCATACAGCAGGGTCCTGGATTAGGCAAAATTGATTTATGGAATCTTTTTTTCCCCAGGGCAATTGCAAATGTCACAAAAGGAATCAGCAATTTTTTCAGGAAGGTTGATAAAATGAGGTCAAAGCAAATTTAAAATAAAAATCCAATCCAATCAGCCATTTGCCCTTTTGAAGCCTGTCTCATACAGAGATCAACATTTTGTAAGCTCGATTTTTAACGTGTTCACACTTTCTTATTTTTTGGCTTTCCATGAACGCTGCCGGGCAGTATGATTGCGAGGACCCACGTTTCTGCAATTTGGGGACAGACAAATTTCTCACGCAAACAACGCCGGGCTAATTTTTGCCCGTCTTTCGAAAATAATTCCTCCAAAAAAAACAGCCACAAAAAACAACACAAGACTTCCCAGATGCACACATTTTAAACAAAACAAGTCCACATCTGTCCGGAAATTCATCACTTCTGTACTACATCTGTGGTTAAAGTGTCTGATTTTTCTTATGCAAAAGCACAGAGGCCTTTTTTGAGAAAAAAAACCCACAACTTTTTAAATGCATCTTTCAAGAAGAGGGCAAACCACAAACCACAACTGCAAATCAAACCTAGCTCCTTCCTTTAAAAAAATAAAAACTCGTTGGCTATATATTATATATATTTTATTCCCTTCGCAGGCTAAATGAATGGGGCAGATCCTTTTTTGTTCTCGTTATGCAAGATTTAAGGAAATTAATGGGAAAAGACCTGGGGGGGGGGGAAATTGGAATTTTTATGTTATATATGTCGATGGTAGCACGATTTACTTTATGCAGAAAAATGGAAGGACACTTCAAACCCCACAATGACTGCAAAAAGTTGATGGAGTTTGCAGAGAGGGCTAAACTGGCTGCTTTGATCAAAGGAAAAAAAAAAACCAAATATTTTTATTACTACTTGGAAAGTGCTTCTGGACTTTGCGCTCGAGGTGGAGGGAAAAAATGAAACTTTGATTTTGAGTTTTACCGATAAAATAGATTTGTTGGTATGGAAGTGGCTAGTTTATATTATGATGGAAAAGTAAAAAGTTGAGGTTTAATTGCTATTATCTTGTTCTACTGCACCAAAAAGACTCAGAAGTCAACGCTTTTTATTTCATTTTTCCCTTCTTTTCTATACTTTTCCCTTCCCTTTTTCCCCTCTCTTATTTTGACTATTGTTTGTTTTTGCAGTTTTGTAGTTTCTATGATAACCTGATAAAAAGGACAATTTTAAAGCTTTTGGAGTTGATGTGCACCAAATTCTACCACGGAAGGAAGTTGGGAATTAACTTTGAACATGTGTTTTATCTCGGCGGCCCATTTTTAGCCCTACGGCTCCTTTTAAACCTCCAATAAAAGCATAAAAACGTGTAATCAATAACTTAGTAAGAACACAACAAGGAGAGGATGGCACACCTTTTATGACAGTGAGTGGTGCATTTTCGGTGTTTGGAAGTTGCAAACACAATTGTTGACTCTCCACGTCATAAAACCTTCGGGGGAATTTGAAAGGCCTGCCTTATGCAAAGCTCCGGGCAGGCAGCCAGCCCAAAATCAGAGATATCTTCCAACTTTGTGAGACTGAGTGAAAGTCTCTGCTTTCAACCACAGGCGGTCCTCGACTTACGACCGCAACTTGGGACCAGAATTTCCACTTTTATTTATTTATTGGTTCGATTTATATGCCGCCCTTCTCCGGAGACTCAGGGCGGCTTACAATGCGTTAAGCAATAGCCTTCATACTTTTGTATATACCTGCTTAGTACGGCTTTCGGCCCCCCCTAAGCGGTGTCCTTTTTTTATACAAAGTCAGCTTATTGCCCCCACAATCCGGGTCCTCATTTTACCTACCTCGGAAGGATGGAAGGCTGAGTCAACCTTGAGCCTGGTGAGATTTGAACTCGCCGTAATTGCAGGCAGCTGGTGCTACTTTAACAGCATTTTAGTCTGCTGCGCCACCAAGGCTCTTTAAACAAGGCAGCTGTTAAAGGAGTCGTAATACTGGCTGGGGAATTCTGGGAGTTGAAGTCTACGCCTCTTATATATATACTGCGCTGGTGTATACTGCACGAGTCAAAAAGAGGGCTGGGAAAATATCTACAGACTTCTCGCATCCTGGACATCAACTGTTTCAACTCCTACCCTCAAAACGACGCTATGGAGCACTGCACACCAGAACAACTAGACACAAGGACAGTTTTTTCCCCGAACGCCATCACTCTGCTAAATAAATAATTCCCTCAACACTGGCAAATTAACTACTAAGACTGTATTACTATTATTCTTCTCATCCTTCCTATTACCGGTACCTATCTCCTTATCCACTTATGACTATAAACACGTTGCTTGTATCTTTACAATTTATGTTGTTTTGTTTCCTAGTATGATTTGATTGCTTATTTCGTAACCTACGACTATCACTAAGTGTTGTATCTTATGATTACCTATCCCCTCCCACTTATGACTATAATCACGTTGCTTGTATTTTTACGATTTATATTGTTCTGTTCGTTTCCTAGTATGATTCGATTGCTTATTAGTAACCTGTGACTATCAGTAGGTGTTGTATCTTATGATTCTTGACGAATGTATTTTGTTTTTTCTTCATGTACACTGAGAGCGTATGCACCAAAGACAAATTCCTTGTGTGTCCAATCACACTTGGCCAATAAAAAAATTCTGTTGTTCTATTCTATTCTATTCTATTCTATTCTATTCTATTCTATTCTATTCTATTCTATTCTATTCTATTCTATTCCTATTCCTATTCCTATTCCTATTCCATTCCATTCTATTCTTAAAGCCGGCTGGCTGGGGGATTCTGGGAATGGACATCCATCCCTCTTAAAGCGTGTTTCCTGGGGGATTCTGGGAATGGACGTCCATCCCTCTTAAAGCATGTTTCCTGGGGGATTCTGGGAATGGACATCCATCCCTCTTAAAGCGTGTTTCCTGGGGGATTCTGGGAGTGGAAGTCCACCCTTCTTAAAGCATGTTTCCTGGGGGATTCTGGGAGTGGAAGTCCACCCCTCTTAAAGCATCTTTCCTGGGGGATTCTGGGAATGGACGTCCATCCCTCTTAAAGCATGTTTCCTGGGGGATTCTGGGAGTGGAAGTCCACCCTTCTTAAAGCATCTTTCCTGGGGGATTCTGGGAATGGACGTCCATCCCTCTTAAAGCATGTTTCCTGGGGGATTCTGGGAGTTGAAGTCCACCCATCTTAAAGCATGTTTCCTGGGGGATTCTGGGAGTGGAAGTCCACCCCTCTTAAAGCATCTTTCCTGGGGGATTCTGGGAATGGACGTCCATCCCTCTTAAAGCATGTTTCCTGGGGGATTCTGGGAGTTGAAGTCCACCCATCTTAAAGCATGTTTCCTGGGGGATTCTGGGAATGGAAGTCCACCCCTCTTAAAGAATGCTGGCTGGGGGATTCTGGGAGTTGAAGACCAGATATATTAAAGTTGCCAAGATTGGAAACCCCTGATCCGCGTGTCCAGAGGTTGTCCTGGAGACCTCTCACCTGCAAATTAGTGCTTGACCACGGCTTTTCAGAAATCCCTTGCGGTTCCTCCTTCCGAAGCCTGCATCCCTCTCCCCTGGAACCGTAATATTCATGCCCTATTCATCCTTTGCATTTGGACAGACCAACACCCTATCAACCAACCCTCCGACGCTTCTTCCCATCCTCTCCAGCTGCCCTGCACACTTAAAATCTCTTTTTTCCTTGCTCAACAGTCTTTGAAAGGCT